CTCCGTCTCCCTTTCCCTATCCCTCTTTCTCAAGCTCTCTCTCTCCGTTTCCTCCCTCTTCTTCTTCTCTACCCTCTCCCTCTCCGTCTCCCTTTCCCTATCTCTCTTTCTCCAGCTCTCCCTCTCTTTTGGCCTCACCTCCTCCCTTTACGCATAACTTTCCCTCTCCCTCTCACATTCCCACTCCCTCTCGCTCTCCCTCTCCTTCTTCTCCATCTTTCCTCTCACTACTTTTTTCTCATTCTTCCCTCTCAACCCTAATCCCCTCCCCCTAATATTTACCCATCCAATAACTCTTTCACTCTTTCCCTGTCTCTACAAACCTACAATTGGCCCTTCAAACTCACTCTTCTAACACTTACTCACCCTATGAGTCACCCTCCTGTACTCACCCCAATAACACTCCCTCCACCACCACTACTCACCGTATCCTTCACGCTTCCTCCCTCACCCTCACAACACCTCCTCCGGTACCCGCCCTTCAAGTACCCAGGCTACTCACCCTGTCCGTCACCCTTCTTCCCTCACCCTCACAACACTCCGCTACCCGCCCTTCAAGTACCCAGGCTACTCACCCTGTCCGTCACCCTTCTTCCCTCACCCTCACAACACCTCCTCCGCTACCCGCCCTTCAAGTACCCAGGCTACTCACCCTATCCTTCACCCTTCCTCCCTCACCCTCACAACACCTCCTCCGATACCCGCCCTTCAAGTACCCAGGCTACTCACCCTGTCTGTCACCCTTCCTCCCTCACCCTCACAACACCTCCTCCGATACCCGCCCTTCAAGTACCCAGGCTACTCACCCTGTCCTTCACCCTTCTTCCCTCACCCTCCCAATACTTCCTCCGGTACCCGCCCTTCAAGTACCCAGGCTACTCACCCTGTCCGTCACCCTTCCTCCCTCACCCTCACAACACCTCCTCCGCTACTCGCCCTTCAAGTACCCAGGCTACTCACCCTATCCTTCACCCTTCCTCCCTCACCCTCACAACACCTCCTCCGATACCCGCCCTTCAAGTACCCAGGCTACTCACCCTGTCCTTCACTCACCCTGTCTGTCACCCTTCCTCCCTCACCCTCACAACACCTCCTCCGGTACCCGCCCTTCAAGTACCCAGGCTACTCACCCTGTCCTTCACTCACCCTGTCTGTCACCCTTCTTCCCTCACCCTCACAACACCTCCTCCGATACCCGCCCTTCAAGTACCCAGGCTCCTCACCCTATGAGTCTCCTGTACTCACCCCAATAACACTCGCTCCACTACCACTACTCACCCTATCCTTCACCCTTCCTCCCTCACCCTCACACACACTCCTCCGATACCCGCCCTTCAAGTACCCAGGCTACTCACCCTATCCTTCACCCTTCCTCCCTCACCCTCACAACACATCCTCCGGTACCGCCCTTCAAGTACCCAGGCTACTCACCCTATCCTTCACCCTTCTCCCTCACCCTCACAACACCTCCTCCGGTACCCGCCCTTCAAGTACCCAGGCTACTCACCCTATCCTTCACCCTTCCTCCCTCACCCTCACAACACCTCCTCCGGTACCCGCCCTTCAAGTACCCAGGCTACTCACCCTATCCTTCACCCTTCCTCCCTCACCCTCACACACACCTCCTCGTACCGCCCTTCAAGTACCCAGGCTACTCACCTATCCTTCACCCTTCCTCCCTCACCCTCACAACACCGGTACCCGCCTTCAAGTACCCAGGCTACTCACCCTATCCTTCACCTTCCTCCCTCACCCTCACAACACCTCCTCCGGTACCCGCCCTTCAAGTACCCAGGCTTCACCCTTCCTCCCTCTACCTCCTCCGATACCCGCCCTTCAAGTACCCCTACTCACCCTATCCTTCACCCTTCCTCCCTCACCCTCACAACACCTCCTCCGATACCCGCCCTTCAAGTACCCAGGCTACTCACCCTATCCGTCACCCTTCCTCCTCACCCTCACAACACCTCCTCCGTACCCGCCCTTCAAGTACCTCAGGCTACTCACCCGTCCGTCACCCTTCCTCCTCACCCTCACAACACCTCCTCCGGTACCCGCCCTTCAAGTACCCAGGCTACTCACCCTATCCTTCACTCACCCTGTCTGTACCCTTCCTCCCTCACCCTCACAACAATACCTTCTCTACTCTACACCCTTCCTGCGATACCTTCAAGTACCCAGGCTACTCACCCTATCCTTCACCCTTCCTCCCTCACCCTCACAACACTTCCTCCGATACCCGCCCTTCAAGTACCCAGGCTACTCACCCTATCCTTCACCCTTCTTCCCTCACCCTTCCTCCCTCACCCTCACAACACTTCCTCCGATACCCGCCCTTCAAGTACCCAGGCTACTCACCCTGTCCGTCACCCTTCCTCTCTCACCCT